CTATAAAAATCATTTGGGAACACCAATGCAAGGCCACAGTGCAGTCAGACTCTCTTTACATTTTACTTTTTTGTGGAAAAATATTAAGGTAATTTTCTATTCTGTGTTGTTTTCTGATGCAGAAGACACCAGCATGCCTAACAAACTGTGAAATAATCAGATAATATCATATAAATACAACATTTTGCTAACGTCACACTATAATGGTTTTTTTTTGTGCTGTTTTACTCATTTTCAGTCCAGCACCGGACCATTTTCAGAAGTCTTTCGTTTGTTGGTTTGAAAAGACACTAAATTATGACCTATTTTTAATTTAAAAAAACTTCTGAAACTCAGGGGAAGAACCAGGGTTGTGTCGACAGATCAAAACAAAAGGACAGTCTTGGATCTTTAGGCTTGTTGTCAGCAAAAAGTCATAATTTGTTACAATTTCTTTAAATGAAACAATTAAAATAATATTATCGTATATTAATTTGAATGATTTTTAAAGATCTGTTAGCTGAAATTTGTACATTCAGATGATGTATTACTCAGGTCCTGTGGACCTTACATATGTCTTTTAAATTTCTTAAAAACATTTGTTTCAGATACTGTTCAGCATCTGCTGCAGAAAGTAGTTGTTGTTCTTTGCTTGCATATTTTATTGCATGATTTTGAAGTGTTTTTACATTATATATGAGATTAAACTTCCTGTATTTTCTGAACAAAAACTAAACGGCCACTAAAGTTCAAAGCAAAACTTTAAAAGACCAACAGAAAATCTAAAGAACTACGGATCAAAACCACTTTATAAAGAGAGAAAAAAAGTCCGGCTCCTTTGAAGCCCGAAGAAGTTTAGGAGGATTTCAAACAGTTTTTATTCATTGTAGTCCTGCTATGAACAATGAAAACTGATTGTCTGGTCTTGAAGAAGACACATTGGAGCTCATATTGTTCAAGATTATTATGGAAAGTGACAAAAAGTGAACTTTTATGAATGAAAAAAAAAAGTACATTTTCATTAGAATAAAAAGGTTTTTGAAGAAAATGAGTGCTGGTGTAGATTGTCAATCATCGAAGACATGATAAATAAAATTAATAATGGAAAACAAAGTGGGCAGCACGTTGGTGCAACTGGTAGAGCTGCTGCCTCTCAGCGCACAGGTCCCTGGTTCAAATCCCGGTCCAGGGGCCTTTCTGGGTGGAGTTTGCATGTTCTCTCAGTGCATGCGTGGGTTTTCTCCAGGTACTCCGGTTTCCTCCCACAGACCAAAAACATGCATGTTAGGCTGATTGGTAACTCTAAATTGTCCCTATGGTGTGAGTGAGAGAGTGAATGAATGTTTGTCTCGTTTGTCTCTATGTGTCCCTGTGATGGACTGGAGACCTGTCCAGGGTGCACCACGCCCATCGCACAAAGATTGCTGGACATGGGCACCGGCGACCCCCCTGACCCAAAATGGAATAAGCGGGTAAAGATAATGGATGGATGGAAAACAAAGCAGCATAACTTTTATTCTGTAGTTAAAGACATTTTGGTTTTTATCGGTGAACTTTTCTCAATTTACAACTGGAGAGTGTGGCGTTCCGAGGTCTAATCTGCAGAATAAGCTCAGACTCCCATGCAGATTAATCTCCCTCCAGGACTTAATTTGTAAACCGATCAATACTGGTGTTGTGACAAAAATTGATTGGCGCACACTCGTCATTTCAGTTCTTCGAAACTTAATAAGATTAACACCTAAAAACAATTTGTTTGCTCGAGATTATAGCAAAGCTGTGTCTCACCTTTTCTTTAATAAATGCACTTTAATGGTAAAAAAGAAAATGCTTCATTTCGCCTGCCTGCCAAAGATTGACTATGAGCTGCCAAAAATTGATTATTGCTCGTAATTTAACAGGTAGGCGAAATTAAACTTTTTTTTTTAACCAATTAAGGAAAAGGTAGAAGGAGACACACCTTATAATCTCGAGCAAACAATAGTTTTTAGGTGTTAATCTTGTTCATTTTCAAAGAATTGCAACAGTGAGTCTTCTCGTGCATGCTCCCGCAGCACCAATCAAATTTTGGCAGACCATCACGTTTGGCACAACATCGGATCAGAGCAAACAGTTGCCTGAACGCACCCTGTCAAAATGAGAGAGTTCCTGGATCTTGTTCCGGCAGGATCCGGCTCAAATTAAGTCCTGCTCCCCTCCCTCCTGAGGGTCATTAGGGTCTTTGTAAGCCTGGCTCACAGAGATGTTTTGGTTACATGCACCAAGGTGTAAATTAGAGAGAAACTGACTGGGAATCAGGTTTAATAGGTTTTAGAACGCTGATAGATGAGGCCTCCTCCTTTGTTTCTCGTTAAACAAATGTGGTTTCCTTCACCTCACTTTCAAACCATGTCTTCTCTGTCCAAAATATGAAAATCTTGGTCCTGAAAAGAATGTCCCTTATCCTGGAGGTGTTGGTGGACCGCTGAGTCTTGTCCTGAAGAGCTGCTCTCCTGTGTTGAGCCATACGTCTGTAGAGAGCTTGTTTGGTTTCTTCATTATAGAGAGCTGAACTTTCCTGCCGACACCACACTGCTCAGTTTGGGGGTTCTGTCCTCAGGATGGACCAGTTTCTGTCTGAGAGTCACGTTAGGTGTGAAATGCACTAAAGTGCTGTGTTTGGGGCAAAGTGAGTGATAAGCAGTGACATGCAGTCAGGGGAGGCAGGTGAGGCACCGGTCATCATGACAAGCAAAATACTGTCAATGATAAGAGAAAATGCATTTGACCACTTGACTGTTCTGTATAAACAGTTCTACAGTACAGTACAGTTGACTGTATATAAGTGTTTTATAAAACTGGTTTCTGAATTATTTCAACACTTCAATGGTCAAAATTGTGGAGTTTACGCATTGCCTGTTCAAACAATGCCGGGTGAAGCAGTGTAGTGCTCTGGTTCACCTCTGGGGGCGCTGCGTCATATACAATATATGAAGTAGGCGGTTGGATCATTCCCTGCTGTCTCTCTGTATATCGCCAACACGTTTGATTACACATGTGCTGCACATGTTGATGTTCTACAGTCTGTCTAATATATTGAATGAATGTGTGTGACATAGTTCTGCTTTCTAATCGCTCATAAATGCACAGTGAAAATGCACAGGGTGAGGCAGAAAGTACTGTGTCTCACAGATAGGGGGCAGTGTTGCCCTAGTTATAATGAAGCAGGTGCAGTCTCTGTGCATTCTTCTGTTACACAGAGGGGCAACAGTGGATGTGACAAATGGGACACTCATTTAAATTTGTTTAGACAAAATGGAAGCTCATATCTCAAAACTAAAGATTTTTCTAAACTAGATTTTCAGTGGGGTGTCCAGGGTGTACCCCGCCCCTCGCAAAGTGATTGCTGGACATGGTCACCGGTGACCCCTGTGACTCAAAATGGAAGAAGCGGATAAAAGATAATGGATGGATGGCTTTTCAGTAAAAACAGAAAGTATTAGAGACTCCTCCTTGGAGCAGCCAGCCTTTTAAAAATGAAGGCAAACCGCGATGAGTTTTACAACAGGTGATATTCATGGAGAAGAAAAGGTGCATGGACTTCATCTTAAAATAAAGGTGAGATAATACATGTGTTTTTTGTTTTTTTAAATAAATGGTTTGACCTTACATAACATATTTTGGGGGGGGTTTGCCACCATTGTTGAACATTATGGAGTTTTTAAAGCATAATTAGATGCCTTTTTAAAAGGAAAAAAAGGCCAAGTTGAAATATAAGCTTCTATATTGAGTTAAATATGTGAGCATCCGATCAAGACGAGTCAGCCTCACCTGTCACAAAGCTCACCACACGTCACTGGTGATACGTATTTGAAAAAGGTAGCAGGATGGATGGCTAGATGAGCTGATGGACTCATGGACTAATGGATGAGTAGAGAAGCAGAGAAGGTAGGCGGTGTGAGGCTGAACACACTGAAAAACCATCACCAACCACATTTTGTCCAGTGGCACTCCGGGGAAAAGAGAGGAAGAGCAGAGGAGGAGAAAAAAAAGGACAAGAATGTGGAAAGGTAAAGAAGAGGACAGCAAAGGGACAGAGGCAGATGTCCAAGTATCCATACCTGCAGATTCAATTTGCCCCTAGTCCCCCCCACCCCCCTCTCTTGGATCTCTCTGGTCCATCCTCAGGCCCTTGTGTCTCTCCAGAATCCAAACCCACATTTTGGGTTTAGAAAATGTTTGCCCGACATCATAAATTCAAAATGGAAACTATATAAAGTTTTATTGGTTGGAACTGACAATTACTGGGACAAAATTAGAAAACACAATATGCTATGAAAATTATGATTTTACTCCCAGATTTACACACTTTATTGGTCGTCTTGAGTTATTTTCCATTCAGAAACAATTAGAAATAACCAGTAACACCAGTAACACCAGAGTGTCAGCATATTCTCTGGGATGCTACAAACGGAGGCGAGGACCAACAGTGCACATCATCAAACATGTGATATGTCCGTTAAATAACAGTTTCATTATATATTGTTATGTTACATAAATATACATTAATATGTCAGTTTACACTTTGATAACAGCTTTTGATTGTTACCGTGATGTGGGGTTTGCTTTTTTTGTCCATGTGCCATATTTTCTTCAAACTGAACAATGAGTCACTGAACACAGGAAAATGTCGGTCATACGTGTTTTTAAATGTTTCTATGGTCTTTATTAGAGCATACGTCCCAGGAAAATACTGTGGTGGTTGCATTACTGCAAATAAGTCCCTTATAAAGCAATGAAACAAGTAAAAAACAATCCTTTAAAAGTCCTGGAGTGCTATAGAAATCCTTGAAAAGTCTTCAAAATGTATCAGAAGTCTTTAGGCGGCAGTGATGGTGAAATGAGTGTGCTGAACATTTCCTCAGAGTGGTTCGTGTCCTCGTTGTTAGCTCCGGATGCTCGTCTTCCTGTCTCTGTCCTTGTTCTGTGAATAAAAGGGACAGCACTTAGCATCATCAGGCTTTACAGAGTGAGGATTAAAGACTGGAGACTACAGAAGCTGAGAGAGGACATTCAGAGAGGCCTGCATCTGCAACAAGCAACAACTCGTTGAGATACAAACAAATAAAAACTATGCAGATTTTACTTGACATCACTAAGTTCATATTTACAATGTGTTTGTTGAAGCAAATAAACTGTGATATTGGTGCAAAGTTCTTGCAAATGACGTGCACATTTATTGCTCACTATTCATTCCCATAGTGTCTTAGTCAAGTCTCAATCATGTCTCAATTTAATTTAAATTATTCTCTTGATTTCATTGGATGCCAAATCCTTCCAAATTCATTGCACACAAAACGGAGCAGGGTTTCTAACAGGTTCCAGACGCTCGCAGCAACTCAAATTCTGTTTTTTTTTATTTTTATTTCCAGCCCGTTAAAATATCCTGCAACCAAAGAGCGAGGCTCAGAGCTCACGCAAGAAAACGGAGAAGCTTGTGAACATTTCAAGACATTTGAAGGCACCGCTGTGAAATCTGTCAATGCTGGAAATGTATTTTTGCTCAGTAATTTATATTCTTATTTAACATCACAAATCAAACATGTTCTCCTGTCTCAGAAATCAGGACTCATGGTGACAACTACTCCTAGCTGAAAACGTCACATCCAGCAATGATTAACCCGTTATTGTTTATAGATATCTGATTAGCCCATTACTGTTTCTAGCTCACCCTGTTACTGTTTATACGACACTGATTAAACTATTACCGTTTAAAAAAAATGTTTGAAAGCTCAACCAGTCAGGTAAATAACAGCAAAAAAGGTTAAATCAAAAGAAACTGGTCCAGATGACATGATTTAACCTTTTTTTCTATTACTGTTTAAATTTTACTATACTTCTTCCTGATTATAGCTCACAGATGAACCCATTACTGTTTATAGATCATTAACTAACCCATTGTTGTTTATAGATAACTGATTAGCCTATTACAGTTTATAGCTCATCCACGTAATTTTAATAGGATCATATTACCATATTTTCCTAAAAGAGCACTACACTCTCAGACTACAGGTTTACGTGCGATTTCTAGAGTTTCCAAAATAAGAATGGGAGGTAGATCTTTCAGTTATCAGGCTCCTCTCTTGTGGAACCAACTTCCAGATTCTGTCTGTGAGGCTGACACATTGTCCAGTTTTAAGACTGGGCTTAAGTCTTTTTTTAATATAAATGCTATAGTTAGGGTTGGCTTGGTTTCCTGAGCTATCCCTTAGTTATGATGCTATAGGCTTAGACTGCTGGAGGACAAATTGACCACATTTCCTCTCTCTGCTGTCTTTACTTGCTCTACTGTTTGTAATTATTTATATATTTAACATGTTTTTTGGTCCTAAGAACAGCTGGACCTGCCATTGTGTATCTGTTCCTCCTTCCTGTCCTCTCAACCTCAGCCGGTCGAAGCAGATGGCAGCTTGTCCTGAGTCTGGTTGTGCTGGAGGTTTCTTCCTGTTTAAAGGGAGTTTTTCCTTTCCACTGTTGCCTTTGTGCTTGCTCAGGATGGGAGACTGTGAAGAAGTGGAGTTAACACATCTGCTGTCTTCTTTAGATAAATAACTTTTACTAATTAATTTTTTTAATGCATATGAATGTTTCTGTTCAGTGCCCTGAGACAAGTTCTGCTGTGACTTGGAGCTGTAGAAATAAAATGAATTGAACTGAATCAGAGTAAATGGTTTAATAAAATTTTGTCACAAAAGCACAAAATTTTCACACTATATTTTGATTTTATTCTGTAAACAAAAACCAGATGATATGTTTTTCACACAAGAAATAAAAGTTGTCTTTAAATAAGAAAAATCGATTTTGGTCATTTCAAGGTGACAGAATCATAAACTCATTTTCTTTAGAAAAATCACACCAAAACCAAACACCAGCTTCTGTATGAAACACCCTGAACAAATAATTATTACTCAGGAAAATTTATTTTTTAGTGAATCGTTTTAATTTTTCTCACAACATTCCTAATCTCTTTTTGTTGTGCTAAACTGTCATCATGCAGCTTCACAGTAATCCCACTGGAGAGGATTTTAATCTCTGTCAAGATCAAAATGATTGACCAAAGCACTTAATTTAAATTAGCGGGAAACAATGTTTTCAGATTTCAGTTTTTATTGTATCTGAAGGGTTTTCAACCCTTAAATACTGTATTTTTTGGAGTGTGCATAAATCACAGCATTTGACTGAAGGTAAACCTGCTCCAGCTGATAGCAGCGATGCTGAAAATGAGTGTGGTTCTGTCAAAGTGCTGCGTTTGGTTATTGGTTGAAGTACATTTTTCCTGACTGATAGTGAACTCACAACCATCCCACACAGCAGCAGCCAACATTAGCTGTAGACAGCAGCAACACGTCTTTAATTTAATTACAGGCAGCAGGGTCTGATCATGACCGCTGTTTGTGCTTCTGGTTTATCTGTGGTGTCAGAGCGGAGACGGTTAGATTTCCTGGCTGGTGAGAAGCCGTTCTCTATCAGGCCAGGAAAATAACATCACATTTTCCCTCCTCACCTCTTCTGCGCCCACTGCTCCGTCCGTCTACCACGGACTTGTCAAGTCAAAGTCCTTGGCTTTTATCGAGTCCAGTTTGAAATGTAACACCCTTCATCTGTTTGACTTTTAGAGCTGATGTTTCAGATTTCTCACCTCAGACAACTGATCTAGAACCATCACAACCTAAAGTTTGATGACTTTTTTTTTTTACTGATTAAATCAAAATAAAAGTTTATTCTCTTTCTGAACTACTTTGGTAAGGCTCTAATAGAAAAAAAAAAAGAAACTCCAAAGATTATTTTTTTAATACACCAGGCGCTGACCCCCAGCAACCCTCCGTGCTGCCTGTCTTCTCATCAACCCAACACCTGTTACACATTTCCTCCCAGTCTGAACTCAAGGTGGAGGTGTTGGAAAGATCCGTTTGACTGACGTTAGCGTGGGGAGGTGTTTGGAGCAGGTAGTAGGAATAAGAGCATGAAATCACAGGATTGGAGCTGGACTCAGTTCTCCTACTAATTAAGGTGAGTGTGAGGAGACAGAAACTTTAACGTGATTCTTCCTCCATCTGGCCAGACTCTGGATCAGTTATTAGACTGGAGTTGACAAATTACTTTTTCTAGTTGGCTATGAACGCAAGCACAAACACCAGAAATACTCTGTGTGTTTCACTAGGCTGTACTTTAGTATAGTCTTGTTCTTAAACATGATATCTTTGATGTTGTAAATCATGAGATGCTAATGATGGGATTTGAAGTTTTTTTTTAATGGAGCCAGCTCTTGTGGATCCATTCCTTTTACAGAGTCAGTCTTTGCAGTTCGTCAAGTGGCGTTGCCAGTGACATAATATGTCTGTAACTAGTGCTGGACGGCAGTCTTACATCACTACATATCACCTGTAGACATTTAGGGTCTAAATATGTTAAAGTTATACAAAAATTAAACAAATATACAATAGTTTTTGGCATTTCCGTGCACACAAAAAAAAAATTAATAAAACCAGTTTTTACAATGAACACCCACAGATCATCGGAAAATCCAAATCAAGCAGCCAGACCATGATCGTCAAGCACCTGGGCCTCCGCTCCGGAGCGCATGTTCACCCATCACAGCAGCTTCAGATCGTTTGTGAACAGCACACCTCTACAAGATGCTTTCACATGAATCCAAAAAGTTAAATCTCTTTCGACAAGCTCCCAACAGCTTCAGCTCGCATTCATAAAAAGAGAACGATGTGTCAGAATTAATAAATCCCTTGTGTGAAATCCAATATTCAAACAGTGGACATCCAACATGTAGAACCAGTGATCTGTTGGTTTGCATTACTGGAAAGTTGTAACAGTGTTCATAGTTAAAGTGTGCTATAATTGTAACTACAAAACACAAAAGCTGCATTTACTGAACATGACAAAGACTTGCAGAATAAAATGTGTTCAACATGTAACATTGTTATACGGGCTGTGATCAAGTATGATTTTAATAATAATGAGATGTTCGCAAACAATCTAAATACAGTACAACATAAAAAGACAGTTGAGAGCCGTTCCTAGTTTAATCTTTTTCTCCTGCTTGATGAGACATGAGGTACGGCCCTGATGTCATACGTCACTACGTACAGCCGTACAGCAAGACGTTGCTGCCGTGCAAAAATGAACGGCTCTTTGAAGTCAACGACTCTCTCTTCAACAGGCCTTATATACCAGCTATAATAATAATAATAATAATGATAATAATAATAATAATAATAATAATAATAATAATAATAATAATAAT